AGGCAAGAAATTCTAGGAGCAGAATTCCAAACATGCGTTGCATGCATGTGTTTATTTTTTTGTATTACTTTATTTCCACCATGTTTTCACTAGCAGAAGTAGGGGTGGGCCATGAAAAATGCTCTTATTTTCAATGGTGGAATTTGTGACGGATACTGTATATTGTGGAAACTGGTATCAGGTCTTATAGGTGGAAAGGAGAATTGGCTGAAGAACATGATTCCCCTTCTGCAAATGAAAGCTGGGAGGCTCTAACAAATCAAAAGGACCTTCTGTTTGTGGAATACGACTCTTTCATTCATGAAAGAGCAATTTTGGATCCAAGCCCAAGTATTTTGACAAATGTAGCATTGTTGTTATTGTGTGCTTTGAAGTGATTTCCAAATTATGGTGCTCATAAGGCAATCCTGTCATGAGTTTTTCTTGGTAAGCTTTGTACAGAGAGAGTTTGCCATTATCTTCGAGTCTGAGAGAGTGTGACTGGCCCAAGGCCACCCAGTGGATTCCCAGGATCATAGTCAAACACCCAAACCATTACATCACACTGGCTCTCAACAGATGTAGCATTAGGGATGGCCAATCTTTTTAGAAGAGAATGAGAGTTTACCTCACAAATATCTGCTAGGATTACAGTAACATCATCCAGGGCTAGAATAGACAAACAGTAGAAATTGTCACAGAACTTGGTATTAGGAGCATTTGAGAACTTTTTCCATGGTTCATATTTTTGAACAAAAATCTTTCTGTCCCAAATGTGAAGAAATGTATGAACTTTGGTGAATTCTTTTTGGAACTAGATTGCAACAAAATTATTCCCACCTACACCAGCCAAATTTAGCAGACATAGCTATTTTCAGCATGGAGAGGGCCACCTGGTACCTGCTTGCCCTATGTATTAAAGGTGAGAAGTCTCACAGAAAAAATGAGGTGGCAATCCACATTTAGCAGCAACATAGGTAAGGGATTCAGACTTTTAACTTAAGCCCTCGACCTAAATCTTTCCATCTCAGTTTCTCCCACAAAAACATTTTTGAAATCTCATCACCCCCCCATCTTGCATATTTAAAGAAGGGATTTGTAATAAATGCTTATCAAGTAATGATAATAATGATCAAATTGTAGTTTTTTTTTAAAATCAAGTAAACCAAATCAGAATTCTCCCTGTTTTCTTAATACCATCCAAATAACATTGTGCCTGAAAAAGCTGTAAATATAGGAGCTGTGCACGAAAAGTCTATTCATCATTCCAACTGTTTCTTCCCCTCTAGGTTGCACAGTTTGGAGCATCATCGCTGTGGTTTATGCCTTACAAGGCATCCTTGTAAGGAATAATTATATAGAAAGGATTATGAACAAATTAAAAAGAAAATTAAGAGGCCATCTCTGCATTGTGCCAAAAAGGAAAAGTGCTATATTTAAGGCATATGGTAGTGCTTTTAGGATCAGCAAAGTGATCAGCTGAGAGAGGCTTTTTACATCTAGGCATTCTGGCTGGTACAAACAAATCTAGGTACATTATTTGTCAGGTAAGACCCAATGTGTGTAGTCAATTTATAGCGTCTCAAGATTTGTGCAGGTTTTTCTTATATCCCATCTCTGCATGGGTTGGACTGTATTACTGAGTGGCCCTATGACCACATGACATTCTTTTTGGATTAATAAATGAAATAAATGGAAATCAAACCACTTCAAAAACATCTGCATCTCTTTGTCCTCTGTAACATTTCATTTAGCAGGTTAGACTTTTCCAAGAGGGCTCTTGTTCACACTCTGTTCTGCAATGCCCCTAATAGCAAATTCTGTGACAATTTCTACTGTTTGGCTATTTCAGCCCTAGAGGTCTTTTGCTGCATTCCTAGCAGATCTTTGTGAGGCAAGCTCCCATTCTCTTCCCAAAAGATTGAGAGCAACAGTAGGTCAGCCCTTTGTTCAGTTGTCTGCTTAGTCATTTGGGAAAATAAATTGATCTCTTAAGTCATGAAATATCTTTCCTAGTTTTATGTGGCCTTATCTCCTGCAGGTCTGCAAGGATAGAGTGATAGGTGGGTGGGAGAAAGGGAGAGGAAATAACTTCTCAATTCTATAGTGTTTCAAACATTGTCTATTTTGGGCTCTGACCCCACCCATTACTGGCATGCAGCCCCCAATAGATTAGCCCTGATGGATTTATTTATGTATTTTAGGCATTTTTATCCTGTCTTCAGAGGCTACCAAAGCAGCTTACATGCCATTAAACCGACAGACTGTTTAAAGAGGTGGCAACAAAGACACTTTGCTGCCATTCCATTCACAGGTAGCTCTGGTTTCTGTGAAGGGAGAAGGGAGTCAAGCAGTGACACAAGGCTGGAGATTATATGACCCTCTAGATGTTTTCTGATTGCAACTCCTATCATCCTGCCCCCTTGACTATGTTGTTGTTGTATACCATTAGTTGTTTCAGACTTATGGTGACCCTAAGGTGAACCTATCATGGGGTTTTGGTGGCAAGATGGGTTCAGAGGAGGTTTGCCATGGCCTTCCCCTGAGGCTGAGAGCAGGTGATTTGCCCAAGGTCACCCAGCAGGCTCATATGGCTGAGCCAGGATTTGAACCTTGGTCTCCAGAGTCCAACACTCAAACCACTACACCCAGCTGGCTCTCATTGGCTGTATTGCCCAGGGCTTAAAGGAGTTCCAGTCCAGTTCCAGTCTGAAGGGCCACAGGTTCCCAGCTGTGCATGTATATAAGCACAGATAAATATACAAAAACACCACAACTGCCACAGAGTTGAGGGTTGTTCAGAGTGGAACACATGGGTTGATGTGAAAATTGCATTTTTTAAAGTCTAGTTTGAACAAACACATTTTAAAAGTTGAAAAATACAAAAAATGGCAGGGAGTTCAACAATTGAGGGACTGTCCCTTGTATTTGCCAGTCTAGCTGTTTTAACCAATGGACACATGAGCAGAACCACTGGCAATGACTTGCAAATGGAGATAGCATGATACAGGCTTCTTGCTGTTTTTAGGAAACGTATAAAGACACATCTGTTCAAACCGGCCTTTCAAACTCTTTCTGTGTTTAATGTTCTTATTAGATTTTATTATGTATTTCTAATGGAGTTCATTAGAGCTGCCTTGAATTGTATTTTTAATTTGTGGAAAGGTAAAATGTAATAAACAAACAAATGAATGAATGAATAAAAATAGATAAATAAATGCAGTCTCAAGTAAGCTAGTTCTAAACTATTTAAAGATCTGAGGGTAATAATCAGAAATCAAACCAGAAACAAATTGTTAACCTGTGTCACCAGTGCATAAGAAGTATCACATAGTGTGAATTTTTCTGGCCTCCATCAGCACTTTGGCAGCCACATTTTCTGCCTGTTGAAGCTTTCCAGCTAGGCTTGAAGGCAGCTCAATGCAAAGTGCATTATAGCAATCCAATTTGGAGATAACTAGTAAACAGGTTCCTTTAACTTGGTCTGACAGCTCCAAATGGGGCTGTAGCAAAGACATTGTTGCTGCCATTCCCTGGCCTTCACCAGGTACCACAATGTCAAAAAGAGACCCCAAACTATGTACAGACTTCTTATTGAGGTCTGAACCCCAGAAAGGAGGAATAGGTTTACTTCTCTCTGAGCAAGTGGGTAGCTAGTGTAGATTGCCTTCACATTTACATCTTTGAAAATAAAACTTCTCTGCAAATGGACCCATTGCATGACCATCTAGCTCTACGAGATTTTTGAAACTTTGATTTCATTCAAGTAGAAAGAGTGATTACATCATTGTGTATATGCTTGGCTGAGATGCAAGTTAATAAGACTGCAAAGACTGTTCATTTCAGAACAGTCAGAAGGAGAATTTTTAACAGGTCCATAGAGATGACAGATTTTAATGGCTCTGGGTGTTAGCTTGCATCAGATCATTAATATTTTCAGTGTCACCTGCACTTGGGAATCCAGTCACTCTTATGTTTGATGTTAACACATCAATTTCAGTTGAAATGTCAGTAGCTTCAACTATTCATTCAGTTATTCAGAGCACAAACACCCCCATAATTCAGTTATACCAGTTTAGGGGCTCTGGGTTTCTGTGGATGCCCCACTATGGTGGCAAGCAGGCAGATACACCATTACTATGATCAATATAATTCAGGATCTGTCATGGGAAGTACTGGAGCTCAGAAATACTGCTGGAATGGTTGATACGAGACAGAGCTGTGTGTGAAATGTGGATTGCCATAAAATAAAAAGGTCTAAAATAAACTCCACATTTGTCTACGCATGTGAACTCCAAATGTTTTAGGCTACAACCTCCTGATTGTCTGGATTGTTGATCAGGCTATGTAAGATTGATGGGAAGGTACCAGCTTGGGAAGGCTGGTTTGAAACCCTCTAGAAATATCTTCCACCAAAATGGAGCTCTCTCTGTCTTCTGAAATCCTGTTTGCATGTATCCACACAAAAAGTGCTAGACAAGAGCATGACATTGAGTGTAGATATTTATATTTTTCCATGTTAGCAGACCTGGAATTTCAGGATGATTGTGTGTGTGTGTGTGTGTGTGTGTGTGAGAGAGAGAGAGATTATATGGTGTTTGAACATCACTGCCTCACTTACTTCTAGGAGTGTCAAAGGTACTTCTCACTGAGACTACCATATTTGGAAAGCCAGAACTTCTTACTCTTTTGAGGGTATTTTTGAAATCAGTAGCAAGTGAAAATATTGGCATACTAGACTAGAAAAGACTTGACAACACAATAGCTACAGAAGACTAGAAAAGTCTGATATTTGAACATCAGTCAAAATGGAGGACTCCTATAACTCCTAACTACCCTTTTTGTGGGGTAGTTGGGGAGGGCTGTTTTGGAAAACGTTAAGTACTTCAAAGAGTTTACATCCCTCTCTTCCTATACAATATGATGTCCATTGTACCCTGGCAAGATTTAGTCAGAGGGTGTTTGCCTTCCTCTGAGACTGAGAGAATGTGACTTGTCCATGGTCACCCAGTGGGTTTCCATGGCTGAGCAGGAATTTGAACCCTGGTCTCCAGAGTTGTAGTCCAAAATTCAAACCACTAGACCACACAGGCACCATTGCAATGATGCAAATAATGCTCTGATTGATGTGAAGTTGAAGGCTTTCATGGTTGGCATCCATAGTTTTTTTGGCTTTTTCAGGTTATCGGACTGTGTTCTAGAAGAATGTGTTCCTATTGTTTTGCCTGCATCTGCAGATTCTCTGAAAATGCCAGCCACAGATGCAGGTGAAATGTCAGGAATAC